GCGGCGGGCGGTAAAAAAAATAAAGATAAAAATTAATATTTTTTTAGCATTTTTTGCGCTTACAAGTTGGCGAGCACGAGAAATTATGCTGAAATAAAATTATATTTTTATTTCATTTTCAGCTCCTGTTCATTCGGCGGGTTCGCGAAACAAGGGATAATAAAAGGATGGCCTTAGTTATCTAATTTAATCATATAGAATAACATACATGGAATATACTAATTAACCATGTCAAGAATGTGATTATGATGATTGTTTAACATTAAAATGATTGACATTTGTATCTGATCGTCAAACGAGTACTTGTCCATATTGAGAGATATTGCTCTGGAACAGCAACAATTAAAACAAAATCAGCTATTTTGAATACATGCATATATTTATAACATGACATATAATGAATATGTCAAATTTGAACATAATCTGTCAAAGCATGTCAGAGCATGTCTAGAAGCCCATTCATTAAAACAAAATGGTCGCCAGTCAGCCATTTTGAATCAGATCGTGAAATAAATTGATGTGCATGTAATATCATGTATGATGTATGTGTGAAGTTTGATTGTGATTGGTCCAGGCATTTCAAAGATACATATTTGGACGCACGGAGGGCAAAACATAAGTCCCCCGGGCCTTTTTCAGACTGCGGGTACTAAAAACTATGACTACAGTACCTGCTCTTTTGGTAGCGCATGTGTTTTATATGACGTGGTGATGTCTATGGTCAAAATAAGTTATATTTTAATGTGTCGGACGAGATACAAATCATAGGTGTGTTTGTTAATTAAGTTGAATTGTCTAGTTAGACATCAAAATGTTTTTTCTATAATTATTATTCCATTTGCTGTATTATTTCTGTGCAGCAATTGCTTTGATGTTTAATTGAGATTATTCATATTTCTATCATATTATATTATATTTGACGTTTATGATGTTATTATCATGATCAATGATTGGTTTAGAACTGACCTATCACAGCTTGAATTTCGGGTCATGTGATACTTGAGAACCTTGAGTTCCGCCATTATTATTATTATTTTTTGTTTTCCCAATGCATGTATTTTCAAGCTGACATCGATGTTTCCCGTTTCTATAGTTCAATAAATGTCAATCCTGATGTTTGAAGTACTGAAACTTTTCGACTTTGTTAATTGTTCTGACTCATAGTACCGTATATACTCCAAGCAAAATCACAGCCACATAATGATACAGAAAACAGTAAATGTATCTTTAGGCTATATGATTCTAATAGAGCAAATATGTGTGTACATCACTACATGTAAAACACAATACTGTAAAATGACTAATTTTCACTGGGTTTAAATTTCCCTGATTAACCGTTTCAAACAT